ATGACGTTTTCGTTCATAACGGGCAATGGAGAACCAGCATCAGATGGCAAGTCTTGATCGGCTCCTGATGTCGCTTCCGACGCTTCTCTCGACTCTTCGCTTTCCAACTCTGCTGCGTAGCGTGGCAGATCAGTATCTTCTGCTGAGAACAAATCCTTTCTCAACTCTTCAACAGCTGTTGGTTGAGGGGCTGGTTGGAACGTGAGTGACGATTCTTCCGCGAGCCTTTGAATGTACGCTATGTGGTCTAGCTCTTCTTGTGTTAGCTCGCCGCCTTGATCCATTGCTCCAGTACCCTCCGCAGCTAATGTAGGTTGTGGCGACGGCTCTGCTGCGAACGATGTTTCCTCTGCGAGCCTTTGAATGTACGCTATGTGGTCTAACTCTTCTTGCGTGAGCATTGGCTCGGATGGAACCTCTGCTGCTTTGGAAACGGCGATGTCAATTTCTTCGGCTGACCATGACGGCAATGGTCTGGATGGTATTTCCGGGCGTATGGTTTCCTCGTGCACTGCATCAACAAAAGGTTCTGCCGCGATAGGTTGCTCTTGTTCTTCCAACTGTGGTGAAGTTCGTTCATACAACGGCAATGGAGAACCAGCATCAGATGGCAAGTCTTGATCGGCTCCTGATGTCGCTTCCGACGCTTCTCTCGACTCTTCGCTTTCCAACTCTGCTGCGTAGCGTGGCAGATCAGTATCTTCTGCTGAGAACAAATCCTTTCTCAACTCTTCAACAGCTGTTGGTTGAGGGGCTGGTTGGAACGTGAGTGACGATTCTTCCGCGAGCCTTTGAATGTACGCTATGTGGTCTAGCTCTTCTTGTGTTAGCTCGCCGCCTTGATCCATTGCTCCAGTACCCTCCGCAGCTAATGTAGGTTGTGGCGACGGCTCTGCTGCGAACGATGTTTCCTCTGCGAGCCTTTGAATGTACGCTATGTGGTCTAACTCTTCTTGCGTGAGCATTGGCTCGGATGGAACCTCTGCTGCTTTGGAAACGGCGATGTCAATTTCTTCGGCTGACCATGACGGCAATGGTCTGGATGGTATTTCCGGGCGTATGGTTTCCTCGTGCACTGCATCAACAAAAGGTTCTGCCGCGATAGGTTGCTCTTGTTCTTCCAACTGTGGTGAAGTTCGTTCATACAACGGCAATGGAGAACCAGCATCAGATGGCAAGTCTTGATCGGCTCCTGATGTCGCTTCCGACGCTTCTCTCGACTCTTCGCTTTCCAACTCTGCTGCGTAGCGTGGCAGATCAGTATCTTCTGCTGAGAACAAATCCTTTCTCAACTCTTCAACAGCTGTTGGTTGAGGGGCTGGTTGGAACGTGAGTGACGATTCTTCCGCGAGCCTTTGAATGTACGCTATGTGGTCTAGCTCTTCTTGTGTTAGCTCGCCGCCTTGATCCATTGCTCCAGTACCCTCCGCAGCTAATGTAGGTTGTGGCGACGGCTCTGCTGCGAACGATGTTTCCTCTGCGAGCCTTTGAATGTACGCTATGTGGTCTAGCTCTTCTTGCGTCATTTCGCCGCCTTGGTGAAGTGCTCCTGTACCTTTTGTAATTAATGCGGGTTGGGGTGTGGCTGACAGCTCTTCATATGGTCGTTGTGGATCTCTGCAACGATCACCTTCACGGACTGCCCATGCCAAAGGTGATTGTTCTGAAGACAGTTCTCGCCCTAATTCTACGCAGTGATGTTCTGTATCATAGCTACCTCGCTGTTCAAGCCCCGCTGCCTTGTAAGCAGAATCCCAATATGCGTATTCTTCTCTGTCCTCTTCTGCTTGAGAAGTCTTCACTTCGGCGACATCTTCATCAGTGAGCTCATTGTAACTATCGGCCGGGACCTGTAATTACTAATTACAGTTGTAGTGTTTCTACTTGTCTGTTCCCCCGTATGCGTGATGCATATCAACTGCTTATTATACATTGGTTATGTTAAAAAAATCTTATAATTTACTTGAATAAACACAGTGAGGGGGTGGACGTGCATGAGACATCGTTTTTTTCTCGACTTAGTGGTAATATTGAACTGCGAAAGGCCAAGAATGTGGACTATGCCTACTGCTCTTGCTACTCCACTTCCATAGACTCAATACTAAGGATGTCTGAGTGGCAATAAAGCTTTAACTGATAGTGGAGAATGGTACTATGCAATGTCTGCCAGCTCTTCACTAGCTGTCGTTTGAGATCTGCTTGAACATTATCCCATCCACCAAACAGCGTTGCTCCCTGAGCGATTCATGTGAACGGAGTGCAGTCGTGTACGCTGTGAAGCTGCTGATACTGTGGTGCTATACTACATACTCATTTCTGATCAGTACTCAGTACTTATATAATCAATCAGTAATATATATCAGAAGAGTTCACACTGAAATCAACTCGAATCAATTCCCTGCTGTCTGGTTTAGTAAATTTTTGTTGCAGTCTTGCATAACAACTGATGAGTCACCTCACTAACTTTCTCTGTTTATTCTTCCCTGGGGGTACAGTTGTGACTCGAGTAGTGAACGGAACATGAGTCTTTCTGGTGCGAGACAGGGCGAGCGGGCTTGGTTACCAGAGCCGAGAAATTTGTTCATTTCTTGTGTGAGCTATTTGGTGATTATATCAGAACTGAAATCGGTCTACTACTGTCTCAGTCCCTCCACAGCGTATCAGATTAAGTTCTATTCATTTCAGTCGCTTGAGAGAGCAACATTTTTCCACGGACTGCAACACGTTCTGAGCAGATTCCAAAAGGCGACAGTGGTGAAAGCTGATAACAGATATTGCCCTAAATATTTCGCATTGTCAGTTAAAGGTTACTGCCAGTCAGCCATTCTCAGTAAAGTCAAAGGGGGAACAAACTATAGTACTGCATGCAAGATTGTCTTTTGCAAGGTAACACAATAAAAATTGCAACGTCCTACCTTGTGTCGCTCGTGCGTGAGAACAGTATATCCAACCATAGAAGACAGCGAACTGGCAGCGAAAGACGGTATTCCATGGACTGGAGATAAGGTAAAGTCTTCCAGTTGATGTGAATCAAATTTAGAAACTTGTTCGATGCCCTCTCGAAGGGATTCTAAGTTCGTACATAGTGAGGCAGGTTTTTCCGTCGTTGTTTCCAGACCTCTTGGCTTTATGGATTCTTCGGACTCCGTTTCGGTCGCCACAAGAGTTTCCAACCATGAAACATCTGCTGCTACATGGAATGTATCGCCTGAATCAACAAGTTCCGGGATGGTTAGTGATCTGATGTGCGGCTCATGCCTCGCATAATCGGTATTCTCACGACTGGGAGACGAATCGTGATACACTCCATAAGCTGCGTCCATTCCTGGAATCACCTCCGATGTGCCATCCCATTCTCTTGTTAGGGCGGATCTGGACGGTAGCTCCCCTTCTACGATTTCCTCATGACCTGCATGCAGCGATGGTGATGTTGGTTCATACAAAAGAACTGGAGAACCGTCACCAGACACCTCCACTTGATCCTCATCTGATATGGCCTCGGAGAATTCTCTAGATTCTATGCTTTCCAATTCTGCAGCATAGCACGGTGGACCAAACTCTTCTTCTGCTAGCGAGTACACTACTCGTTCTTTCTCGCCTTCCGGTGCAACGGATGCACAAGGTGGCGGTTGGAACGGTTAGTGCTGTTTCTTCAGCTAGTTTCTGAATGTAGGCGATGTGATCGAGTTCCTCTTGCGTCAGCGCTGGTTCCGATGGTACTTCTGGTGCAGTGGAACTGATGAAGCCTGCTTCGCCGGCTTCCCGCGGAGGAATTTGTGGCATGGATGGTAGTTCTGGTTCTACGATTTCCTCATGATCCGCCTCCAGCAGTGGTGAAGTTCGCTCGTACAGAGGAACTGGAGAACCGGCCTCAGAAGCCGCTAATTGGTCCGCTCCTGAAGTTGCCTCGGACTCATCTCTCGATTCTTGTCGAAGTTCTTCCCTATAGTCGAGTTCTTTTGCGGCAATCGAATCCCGTCTCAACTCTTCAACAGATGCTGATGGAGGTGGTGGACGAGGTGGCGGTTGGAAGGTTAGTGCTGTTTCTTCAGCTAGTTTCTGAATGTAGGCGATGTGATCGAGTTCCTCTTGCGTCAGCGCTGGTTCCGATGGTACTTCTGGTGCAGTGGAACTGATGAAGCCTGCTTCGCCGGCTTCCCGCGGAGGAATTTGTGGCATGGATGGTAGTTCTGGTTCTACGATTTCCTCATGATCCGCCTCCAGCAGTGGTGAAGTTCGCTCGTACAGAGGAACTGGAGAACCGGCCTCAGAAGCCGCTAATTGGTCCGCTCCTGAAGTTGCCTCGGACTCATCTCTCGATTCTTGTCGAAGTTCTTCCCTATAGTCGAGTTCTTTTGCGGCAATCGAATCCCGTCTCAACTCTTCAACAGATGCTGATGGAGGTGGTGGACGAGGTGGCGGTTGGAAGGTTAGTGCTGTTTCTTCAGCTAGTTTCTGAATGTAGGCGATGTGATCGAGTTCCTCTTGCGTCAGCGCTGGTTCCGATGGTACTTCTGGTGCAGTGGAACTGATGAAGCCTGCTTCGCCGGCTTCCCGCGGAGGAATTTGTGGCATGGATGGTAGTTCTGGTTCTACGATTTCCTCATGATCCGCCTCCAGCAGTGGTGAAGTTCGCTCGTATAGAGGAACTGGAGAACCGGCCTCAGAAGCCGCTAATTGGTCCGCTCCTGAAGTTGCCTCGGACTCATCTCTCGATTCTTGTCGAAGTTCTTCCCTATAGTCGAGTTCTTTTGCGGCAATCGAATCCCGTCTCAACTCTTCAACAGATGCTGATGGAGGTGGTGGACGAGGTGGCGGTTGGAAGGTTAGTGCTGTTTCTTCAGCTAGTTTCTGAATGTAGGCGATGTGATCGAGTTCCTCTTGCGTCAGCGCTGGTTCCGATGGTACTTCTGGTGCAGTGGAACTGATGACGCCTGCTTCGCCGGCTTCCCGCGGAGGAATTTGTGGCATGGATGGTAGTTCTGGTTCTACGATTTCCTCATGATCCGCCTCCAGCAGTGGTGAAGTTCGCTCGTACAGAGGAACTGGAGAACCGGCCTCAGAAGCCGCTAATTGGTCCGCTCCTGAAGTTGCCTCGGACTCATCTCTCGATTCTTGTCGAAGTTCTTCCCTATAGTCGAGTTCTTTTGCGGCAATCGAATCCCGTCTCAACTCTTCAACAGATGCTGATGGAGGTGGTGGACGAGGTGGCGGTTGGAAGGTTAGTGCTGTTTCTTCAGCTAGTTTCTGAATGTAGGCGATGTGATCGAGTTCCTCTTGCGTCAGCGCTGGTTCCGATGGTACTTCTGGTGCAGTGGAACTGATGACGCCTGCTTCGCCGGCTTCCCGCGGAGGAATTTGTGGCATGGATGGTAGTTCTGGTTCTACGATTTCCTCATGATCCGCCTCCAGCAGTGGTGAAGTTCGCTCGTACAGAGGAACTGGAGAACCGGCCTCAGAAGCCGCTAATTGGTCCGCTCCTGAAGTTGCCTCGGACTCATCTCTCGATTCTTGTCGAAGTTCTTCCCTATAGTCGAGTTCTTTTGCGGCAATCGAATCCCGTCTCAACTCTTCAACAGATGCTGATGGAGGTGGTGGACGAGGTGGCGGTTGGAAGGTTAGTGCTGTTTCTTCAGCTAGTTTCTGAATGTAGGCGATGTGATCGAGTTCCTCTTGCGTCAGCGCTGGTTCCGATGGTACTTCTGG